CCTGATAGTGTCCCCCGCTCTGCCCGAGGCCTGGATCTGCTTTCCCTCGGGCACTATGGCAACAGCAGAGCCTTTAGTGTCTCCCCAGGGAGTCTCTCACAGCAGCTCCCTCACACCTGGGGCGGGATGCAGGCTCTCTGGTGCTGCTTGCTCAGCCCTAGCACTCTGGCCTCGACCTGATGGGAGCCTGGGCTAGGCTAATGCAGTCCTTCCGATGTGACCTGCAGCCATCGTTCTTTCTCAACTCTGTGAAGTTGAAAGCATCCCCCAAACGGGGTGAAGGGGTCAGAGAAGGAAGCTGAGGGAAGTTACTGGGAGGAATGGCCTCGGCAGTGCTGGTGATTATCAAGCTGCCCAACAACCCCAGCTGAAACTCTCATCTTCATGTTGTAAATGAGGAGATTGGCTCAGCAAGGCGATGTCAGCTGCCTGAAACTGGTCAGAGGCAGAGCTGGCCATGGAGCCTGGGCCCATGTGAGCCCAGCTGGAGGCGGGCAGGCTCAGAAGCTTGCCTCCCCACCCAGGTCTTACAGATGACGGAGAAACACTGCCAGGATCGAGGCATCCCCTTCCCCAAGATCGAGGTGCGCCCAGAGGACTTGGTGGAGCCCCGCGAATGTTACCTGTTTGACAAGGCCGAGGACCCCCGCGCCCCCATTGTGCTGCATTTCCCCCTTGTCAACTGTACCTTCCGCACACACCTGGCCCCAGGTGAGGGGAAGTCCTGGTGGGTGACGGGGTGCTTCCCAAGAGGGCAGAGCACACCTCCTGCCGGGCCTGAGTTGGTCACTGCTGCCTTCTGCTTTCTGGACCGCAGCACGCACTCTGGCCCAGTTGCTTCTGAGTGACAGCTGAGAGGGGAGTCCAAGCAGGCCTGGCCCAGCGGGAGCAGCAGATGTCCTGGAGCAGGGCGTTGCTGGACCAGCTGTCCCCATCAGCTCCAGGTGTCCTGGCCTGACCTTTCCTCCATTTCCTGCCCCCAGGTGTGGAGCGGCAAACAGCTGAGGAGAAGGCCTTTGGAGACTTTGCCATCAATGGGCCAGACACCCCCTACAGCATGACAAACTTCACCTATGAACCCGAGGCTTTTGATCGGCTGGTGGCCCTGAGTCGATACAACGTCTTGAACAATGTGGAGACCCTGAGGCAGGCCCTCAGGCTGGCTCTGGGCCGGGGAGGGCAGAGAGGGGAACGAGGAGCTCCAGCCTGAGTCTGGTAAAGGGAGGGGTAGTGGTCTCTGCCAGAACCTGCCTTGAGATCCCCTAGGTCTGGGAAAGCCCCTGCACAAATGCAACTTGGACTTGCGAAGGGCCCTGTGTCTGTGGGAGAAAACACAGTACATCTCTCAGGGGCTCCTGGGGGTGTGAGGCGAAAGTGAACGAGGCCTGCTTCACGCTGGCACATGCAGCGGCTATCAGGTAACAGCCTAGCCGCAGGGCACCCTCTCCCCCGGTGCCTGGTCTTCAGACTCTTTCTAAAATGGGAGCCGTGAGAGCTGAGGGCTCATCACCCTCTATAACCCGGAGCCAAAAGCAGAGATGCGCCCATCCACCCATGCTTCCCCAAACGGCCAGCCCCCTCACCCCCAACTCCTAGATGCAGTGCTGAGCACCATCAAAAATGAAGGGAAGCTGTGTGGGCTGCCCATCTGGGCCGCTCAGGCCGTTGTCCTGCCTGCTAACTCTCCTTAGCCTCTGGCCTCCCCCACCTCCTCACCCTGCCCACCTCCTCTGCTCAGCCCTGGGGGGCTCTGGGCTGAGGGTCCACCCTGACAGCGCTCCAGCTGGGGGGCGTGCGCTTGTCTCTGGCTGGTCGCGTCCTTGACGCTTGCCACACGTAGCCTTGCCACCTCACTCACAGTGTCATCTCAGAAGCGAAGTGCATGTGTCCAAAGAGCGCCTCCATCTGTCGGGGCAGATGGGTGTGCACCTGGTGGGTGTGTGCGTCCTTGGTGAGCCCCGGCTGGTGAGCACCTGTCTGTCTGAGGGATGAGCCGTGATGGGGGGGTGGTGGTGGAGGGGGGCCCCGGCAGGGGCTCAGGGACAGGGGCTCCTGACTCACAGATGCAGTTAATGATCTGTGTGATTTGCTTATCTCCCTGTTTCTCATTTCTCCTGACCTACCTAGGAGCCTACAGCTGACTCCAGCTCCTCTGGGAGACAGGCAGATTTTAGGTCCGTGGAGAGAAGGGCCTCTCTGAGCCGGCTTGGGCCGGGGTCTGTGAGGCCTCTCGGCTCTAGCCACTGCCCTCTGCAGCTTCATTGCCCTCACCCCATCCTCCCCAGTGCTGAGCTGCCTCGGGCCCTTCAGTGGGCATCGTGGACACATAGGCACCCGTCCCCATCCTCTCCAGGACCAAAGTTACTATTCCCCTTTCTATCAGGGACACTTTTGCAAGAAGACTCCCCTATCCTGACTCAAAACAAAGCCCTAGCTCTGGGCTGGGAGGAAGGTGGCCAGATCCAAGCTGGCCTGGCCTGGGTCCCTGAGCTTTCCTGCAGAACATGAGCTGTGTAGGCTGAAGGAGCCAGGCCTCAAAAGGGCCAGTGCTTCCCGCTGGCAGGGGCAGGACGTGGCTGCGCTCTCTTGCTTCCTCACTATCTCTGCCCATTACAGGTCTCCCCCTCCCCATTATCTGCCAGAGAAATTTGAGTAATTTCAAGTTTGGGGCTCTCATCAAATTGTTAATTCTGAAACTTATTTTTAAAAAGTTCTTTAAAATTTCAATCTCCATTTTTTTTCTTCCCAAACCAGACAGGCACCTTACATTAACTTAGTTTTCTGCCCGATATACCCTGTTCCCCATCCACCTAAACTCCCTACTAACTAGTTTAGGGCTCTTACCTGAATTTTATTTCCAGTGTATTAAAAGTTTTTAATATTTGAAAATGTATTTCAATTTATAACATATTTTACTAAGTGATTTGCTCATCATTGCTTAATTTTTATTTTGTTGGAGTAGAAAAGTGAATATTTAATGAAGCATCTTTGTATTATAACAGTCTGAGTCTTTATTTTCTGGAGTTGTCTCAGTTTTCCCTGGCTTGTGAGTCTGAATGAGTATAGAATTTTGGGTTCAAAGCTATTTATTCAGACTTTAATACCTTCTTGCTTTTGACATTGCTGACAGGCATCTGGCGTCACTTGAATTCTTATTACCTTGTAGGTAACTTAACTTTTAGTACTCTCTGTCTTGATTTTCAAGTATTGCTGTGATTTTTCTACTTGTGGGCTTAAAATCACTGCGTTTCTTCAAATTCTGGATTTTTTTAAAAAATAATATTCAAAAGGGCAGATTTATTACTTGAAAAAAGGGGGGGGAAGGAAAGTAAAAGATGCTTGCACAAATATACACTGGCAGGAGGAGCTGCCTCTGAGACAGGTTTGTGAAGAGAGACACTCGCATAATCACAGGCGGGCAGGAGAGCTGCCTGGATTTATGGCTTGTGTGTGTGTGTGTGTGTGTGTTTTAAATGCTAACATATCTGAAAAATTTTTCAAAACACTACTACTATCCATTCTCTTTCTGGAATTTCTGATCTAGTCAATCTTCTATATCTATAGACATTCTTTTACATATTCTGTCTTTGTGTTGCATTCTGGGAGATTTTCTTTGTATAATTTTCTAGATCATGAATATGGTTTTCACCTGTATCCAGGCTGCTCTTCTACCTGTCTTTTGGGGGAGTTTTGTTAATTTTTGACTATAACATTTTTCAGTTTAAGTTCTCTAGTGGGATCTTGCAAAACTACCTGTTTTATTGCACACGCCTGTTTTATTGCACTAATTTAGCTCAAATGATATTAAAGTTTTGTATTTCAGGGAATTTTCCTGGTTGTCGTAGGAATGATTTCCTTGTGGGGGTGATTCCTTTGTTGCTTCTCCTTCATGGAGAAGCATGCTTTCATCACGTTTGGTAATTCTTGGTTGTGATCTCATCTCTGAGAGCTTTTGAGCCCTGCTGAGCCTGGGGTGTCTCCTGGTCAGGTTATTGGGCCATGCAATGACAATGATGGCCTGCAGGTGGCAGTATAGGACTTGGGGAAGAGGCTGAAGATGGGCATTTGCAGTGACTGGGTGGGCTCAGAGGTGATGGTACAGCCTTGGTGGGGAAGGTGACTTGTAGGAGCCCATGCATAGAAAAAGGGCCAATTTCCCCAATATGCCAAGCACTCTTAAAATTCAAGAAAGGAAAGACCAAAAATCTGCTAAAAGTATACATCGACAATACACAGAAAAGTGTAATCACCTTAGATGTTTTGACTAAATATGTGTTCTTAACTACATCCTGGCAAACTGACATGCTACTGTATGTAGTTAATATACACTACTCGGTTATTCTTCATTGACATCCCAGTTTCTGGACTTGGGATCCACCGAGGGGGAGAGGAATGGTGCCCGAGGACAAGACCCCCACCACATGACTGATATCTGAATCTGGAATTGAGGGGGTCTGGTCTGGAGATATAGATTTGGGAATCACCAGTATATAAATGATGCTTAAGTCATGAGAGTGGAAATTTTTGTTAAGGAATTGAATATAGACAATGTAAAAAAAAAAAAAAAGGAGGTGGGGGAGGAAGTTTCAGAACTGAGTCATGGGCATTCCAAGGGTGAGAGGTCAGGAAGCAGCAAAGGTGACTGTGACAGAGTGGCTGTGAGTGGGAGAAGTACCAGGAAGCCAGAGAAGAAAGCATTTTAAGGAGAAGAGCACTATCAGCTGTATCACATACTGCCGAGAAGTCAAGCAAGTTGAGCCTGAGGACTCCTTGCTGGGCTAGCAACTGTGGCTCACTAGGGTTTAACAGTTGATAGAGTAGTAGGATCAAGATTTGATTGGCACAAGAGAAAGGGAGGAGAGAAATCAGTGACAATATAGATGAATCTCTTGAGGTGCTAAGCCAAGTGGCCATTATATGATGCTATTTCCACAGTAGGCAGAATTCATGCATCCAAGGACCAAGACGTCGGTAGAAGTTGACCTTATCCTTCTCATCACCTCTCCACAGGAACCCACTTCCCTAAACATCAAGCTCTGTGGGTCTAGAGACTCTGGTTCCCGGAGTGAGTGGGGAAAAACTTCCATTTGGAGGCACAATAGGAGTCCCGCTAAACTTAAAGGGAAGATTCTTGCTGGTCTCTTTGGGCTTCTTGTGTTTGTGGACCGGCAGGCAAAGAAAGGAGTTATACTGGCAGGGATCCGTGGTTTTGATCACAGGAAGATACATACTGCTGTCCAGTGGAAGCAAGGGCAAATGCTTGATACCTTGGCTTTCTTGGTTGATCTTTGGTTTTCTCATGCCAAGTTTTGTGAAATGGATAAATATATCAGCTACGGTTTTACCCATGAACAGTGGGTGAGTATAACAGCTTCAGTGAGGGTCTGAGCCACCCCACCAAGGGAACCACCTAGATCAATAGAAATGCTTGTTGCAGGGGAGGAGAATGAAGAATGTGGAGGACGAGGGATGATAGTATCAGTTACACATTCAGGGCCAGTTACAGCAGGGAGGGGTGTATTTCATCTCCTTAGCTGTTGGAAGTTTTCCCAGAAATTGTGTCCTTCCCGAAATGTGGAAAAGCTGTTCTTAGATGGAGCAAATGTAATGTGGCAAGGAAGAGGATTTGAGTGGCACAGAAGGTAGGGAATGCTATTGATGCCCTTCTGTTCTTTGCTTTTTTTTTTTGACTGATGCACAAACATCTGAATACACACACACACACACACAGTCACCTACACAAAGCACACATCCTCAGATTCTGAGAGGGTTGGTAGCTAGTCGTTCTTAGCTAACTCCCTCTTTGGAGATTTGCCTTGGCTGAATAAATGGAAGTGCCAGTCAGGGTTCTCCAGAAGAACCCTAATAGAGGACCAACTATTACAGAAAATGAGTTTCAGGGAGATTTGGGCAACTCGTGCCCTGCAGAGACCCATCCTTACACATCAGGATTCTAGGCAATAATTCCCTTAGCTTCAGCCTCACTCAGTCAAAGGAGGCGGCAGCAGCCAGGCTGTTGAGCTGTTGAGCTGTTGAGCTGTTGAGCTGTTGAGCTTCCTGTTCCAGGGCCTTGACTCTGGGAATGGTCAACCAACACTACCTCCTATGTTCCTCGTAACAATGCCAGTTCTAGGGAAATTCCTGCTCCAAGACTGTACACCTAGTGCTTTGTTTGGCTTTGCAGTTCTGGGTGTTTCCGCTCCTGGTACACGCGAGCCGCTGCACTGAGCTCAGCAGTCTGCGCGCGCCTGTTTGATCTTTTTGGCTTTGTCGGTCCTTCCAGTCCTTCCAGATATTTTGTGGGCTGGGATTCAGATGTTTTCATTTCATCAAAGGTGGAGTTTTGTGTTTGTTATTTTCTCCTGGCTGATTTCCTCGTGAAGAGAATTCACTCCGCCATTTAAAAATCAGAAGTCTTGTAATACTTCTGACATTTTGCAAATCTGATGTGTATGAAATAATATCTCACAGTGAATCTAATTTGCATTCCTTGGATACTAGTGATACTAAGTATGTTTTTGTAAGTTGTTTTTAACTATTTTGGTTTGCTGCTCTGTGATAGGCTGCCTTTATACTCTGCCTGTTTTCTATTAGACTTGTTGCATTTTTTTCTGACTGATTCACAAATATTTGATGATACATATTTTTTATTCTAATACTGTTTTGGCTAACATATCACAAACATTTCCCCTTAATCAGTGGCTTATTTTTTTTTTAAGATTTTATTTATTTATTCATACAGAACTGGGGTACAGGCCAGAGATGCGGAGGGTGAGAGGCTTCACCGAATGGGGAGCAGAACAGGCAGATCGACGAAGTACACTGCTGAGGGGAGCAGCGGGCGGGTCAGGAGAGGTCTGCCGCGCCATGTGGATCTCCTCGGGCCAGGCGGGAATCGAACTCATGCGGAAGTGACTTTAGCTTCTTAGTGCTGTGCTTTAACCCGCTGAGCCACCAGGGAGGGCCAATCAGTGGCTTATTTATTCAACTATG